ATGAAGACTTCTGAAACTCTACTGTCTATCTATGAAGCCTCTAACTGATAAAGATGGAAGTCGGGACAAGACCCACGACATCCTGACTGAACTGAAAAGTAAATGAAATCCTCCAGAAATAAGGAGCCTCACCATAGCTAACTCGAACTCTTGGATTTATCAACGAATCTCCTGTTAATGATCTTGAATACATGTGTCTGCATCATGAGAAGATGCAGGCCAAATGACTCAGTACATGGAATGTACGAGCATGTAAGAGGAATTCTAAAACATAAACATAAGCTTGAAACTTGATAAAAAGAAACATACTTACCTCTTCTCAAACTTACTCAACTCAAGAAATACTCAAGGATACTCAAACTTACTCAACTCAGAAGTACTCAAGGATAAGATACTCAAGGATAAGATATGTTGTTCGACTCTGGGTACTCAACTCTGGATACTCAACTCAATATGACTGAACTTGTTTCAATATAAAGCAATTTAAAATAAGTGCAATATAAAGAAACGAACTGTTTAAAAACATGTTGAAAACTCTGTGTGTATGCAAGGATACAACCTAACTCTGAAATATATGTAAAAATACTATAAACTGATGTATATAAAAATAAAATAACTTCTATGGGAGTTTCTCTAACCGGCAACCATCACAAAAGAGCTATAGTGATGATACAACGATCTACCTCACGCCAAAGGTATATGACCTGAACTACCTAATGGATCCACTAGTCTATTATGAAAATGGTTCATCTAAAAAGTATGACTCTTTTCTACCCATGGTGGCTACATGGTTTATGGGGGCTGTGAATTGTCTAAACTCTCCCCCATATCGGTGCTCAATACTACTCCCAAAATATACTAGCTCTTTATGTTTTAAAAACATACTTCTTCTCTGATTTGAGATTAGTGTTCAAAAAACTTAGCTCAAAGGCTATCTTGGAAATCTCAGTTTCCTCGCTTGTTTCATTTAGAAAGCAATTACTCTTCTCTGAAAACTAGCCCGAAGGCTCTTTGGAAATCTCAGTTCCGTTCTTATTTAAATGTGAAAACAGTTTAAACTCTTTTGGGAATACATAGTCCCCATATACTTTTGAAGAAATGAACTTCAACTTTACTCTTTACTGAACTCAAAACTTAAGTCTTAAAACAAAATTAAAACGTTTGTAAAAGACTTTTTAAAATATGGTTCATGCCGAATTATGGATATGAACGACTCAATGCAAGGTTTTCAATAACCATAGAGAGAACTCAAATACTTGGAACTTGAGAACTTCAATGATACTACTCATTTCAAGAATGCTCAACTCAGAGTTCATGCGGAATTATGAGCATGAAATATTCAACTCAAGGACTCAAAGATACTTCTCAAAAGAGATTAGGAACTCAACACTTAAAGATACCACTTCTCTGAAGGATACTCAACTTACGAGTTCATGCGAATTATGGGCATGAAACAACTCGACTCGATGGTCTACATAACTATATGGAACTCATGTATACGACTCTTCTTATTCTCTGACTTACTTCCTCAAACTTAAGTTCAATTCGATAGTTGATCTCAAAGGATTCACAATTGAACTCAAAGGCTTTTTTGAACTCTACTCTTAACTCTCTCTTGAATGTGAATTATGAATTCAAGAGTTATAGTTCATGATGAGAAAGATCTCATGATGACAAGGTATACTCATGAATACATTATTCTCACTCTCATACTCACTTTCTCGAGTCTTGAAACAAGTTATTAGAATTTGTAGAAGACTCCTCAAAAAGACAAAAAGGAATTTTCTAAAAAATGTTCGAAAGAATTCTCAAGACTTAACTCTCAACTCTACCTTGAATGTGATTTATGAATTCAAGGTTGTGGTTTGTGATAGTAAAGGTCTCATGATGTTTAGGATTGATTTTAGATAGCTAAACATGAGAAAAGATAAAAAAAATTCACTGCTTGGAAGCTAGTCCGCGACGTGGAGATGCATTAAAATAATTGGTCGCGAAATAAATTTTGAGGCAAAGAGGTCCGTGACCTCTCCGCGACGCAAAGACAACTTTATGAAATGGGGAGGCAGGTCCACGACGCGGAGCCAATTGCCAGATTTGCCCGACTTTTCTCTTCTTCATTTTCTAACCCCAAATCGCCTAAATTCGATTCTTTTGCTCAATTTTTCTTCAGATTCAGATAACCATCACATGTACACAAGAATCTAACTCCAAACTACTTTATAAATCGAAACAATAATCTCAAGAACTCCTAAATCTCAGCCCAATTCAAGAATGAAAGCAAATTCAAGAACGCATATCAATAACATCAGATTTTCAACTTTCTAGAACGAACTTAACACTGAAATTTACATGATTGGCGTGTGGGTGAACAAACCCAACACTATGGAAATTTACATACCTGAAAGAATTATCCTCTTGAAACAACTTGAAGGAAAATCTTGAAAGATAAACCCTAGCCTTAGCGTTTCTTGATTTTCTTGAGCGTAGAATCTTTGGAGTGAATGAGAGGGTTTTGATTTATGAAAAACTGATTTCTACTCGTTTAGGGCAATTTAGATGACCTCCTAAGGATTTTTAGGACTAAAATGCCCCTAAAGAAATAATTAAAACGAGATGGAAGTCGGAAAGATCTTTCACCAGGCAATGAGGTCTGTGTTGGCTCCGAGTCGCAGAGCTATCGCGGAGCTGCTACTAGGTTTGTTCGACGTTAGTAAATGCGTCATAACTTTTTACTCAGAGCTCAGAATTGAGCAAAATCGGTGGCGTTGGAAAGAGGACTTGAAGGGCTTTAACTTTCTATCTTGTAGCTCACCTAACTCATCATGTACTAGGAGTTATGGTCGTTTGAAGTTGAATCAAAACTTAAGAAAAACATAGGAATGACTTGAATGAACTCTCTTTTAAGTTCTTCTTGAAACACAAGGTGCTATCTCTAGTGACCTTAACACTTAGGAAAATTTTAATTCCTTGCAGAAATCTCACTCACTATGAAGAACGGTTCGAGTCTTAGCTCAAAAAATTTCTGGGGTGTTACAAGGGGATGAGGGGAAGGGAGCCTCGAGGCCGGAGGAGGGGCTGGGGCAGGGCACCTCGAGGACGGAGGGGGAGGGCATCGGGGGACAGTGCCTCGTGTCCAGGGGTGGGGGGACTCAGGGCACGGTGCCTCGAGGTCTGA